TTTTTTTTAAATTCATTATATGTATCTCTGATACAGTTTTTGAACAGTTGGAGTTATTACAGCCTCCCCGTGACCATGGCTTAGTTCAACTAATATATATCGCGTTTTAAACTGTTAAATTGTTTTATTTAAATGTGTACTAATCGCGTATACTACAGACAGTATTAAGCATGGACATATTTTTGATTGCTCAGTGGTATAGCACAATTATAATAATACTTTATAATAATTCTTCACCGGTAAATAAACTGTTAGTTTAGCAAACACATTAATATGTCTCTCAACCACACATAAGCAAATCTGATTTCGCCTTATTGTTCGTCTTTATACAGTGGTCTTAGACGTTATTTTATAGACATCGAGTAATAAGTTCGCGGAGAGGAAAATATATACAATATTATCATTTTACAGTAGCGTCATTCGTTCTTAAGTTCTTAAAACTAAACGGATATAAGACCGAACGGGGATATATAAAAATAATTTGTCAGGATATCCCATTGCATCGAATGCGCTATAGTTATTTTTAACTACGTCGCCATCTACACAAACATGCTATTACACGATCAACGATCCGTTAACTGTAATTTTCACCTGTATTTCAATAAATATAAGGTTCAAAACGTATCGAAACACGCGCGTTTAATATGCGCGAGCGCAGTGGTCCTGTCATCTCTGCGAGACAAGACTGGGTTTGCTGAAGCGCATTTAGAACGTACCATTTACGATGTAAAAAGTGAGCTGACTCTACAATATTTATGGTTGCATTGTATGCGCAGGAACAGGTTATACCCAATAACTACTGAGCGAATTACTGTTCAGCAATTAATGCATTAACAAATACTTTTTTCTTGGCAGGTGCCATCGTTGTTGTGCCAACCGGGCCATCTTTGAATATTTTTAAACCTATATACGTTGGATAGTCGACTTCCTGCTTTCCTATAAAAATTACGGCTCGCTACGGATTTGGAAACAATTATTTTAAATTCAAAAACTCTCGGACAGTTTCAAAATGTTTCTTTATGTTAAATAAAAACACGTGAAGTGCAGATTTTATATTTACGTGAATACTTAATACTAATGACTATGTGTTGAATGCTCTTCATATTTATTTCCTTCAATCATTTACTTCAAATTGGCCTCGTTACAGAAATAGTAGTCTTTAACTTTAAAAAAAATTCACAAGGTTTATCCTTAATTTAATTATTAACATTAGTTCGTAGATATTTTGTGTGTAAATAATATTTCAACAAACAAAACGATGATCAAAAAATACTTCGCTCAGTATTACTAAAAAACCTGTCATTTATTACAATAAAAATATCATACTAAGTATGTAGGTACATATAGTATTTTATTTCTCCCCTTACAGTGACTTTTGCAATTAAAACCGTTATCTGACACTTACCAAAGGTTTCCTCTCAAATGAGACGGAATAGGGTAAATTCAGTAATTAATTCCAACAGCGTAAGGCCGGCAACACATCGACGACAGGCGGGAAGCCGCGCTGACCCCATTTTGGGCGAGGCATCAACCCGCACCGAACCCGAGTCTTTGACACTTAAACAGAGAGTAGGCCATGTATTTTCGTTATGTACTTTCGACAGAAATACATCACGGTTCTACTATTTTAATTGTTTGCTGTGGATCTATTTCGTCTTCTATTACATTCGGGAGATCTAAAGTAATCTTTATTGTAAGACTATAAGGGCTATATTACTTTTCGTTTTTACGTTGCAATGTAGTTACGTTGTTACGCTTCTGGCAAACAGAAAAATATACACGATACTTAAACCTGTTGTAATTTGAAGATATAATCGAAAAATATTAGAGACCTCGGAGGACAAATTTTTGATCCTATCCGAAGCCGAATTTCGCTGAGCATTCTGTAAAATTAAATTTCTATAACAAGTTTAAATTGACTTAATTCTTTGTACTTTAGTAATTGCATCCACTTAAACTTTGGTTTTAGCATTTATGAGTTTTTTGTGACGCATTCCACTTATTAAAATTTTTAAAACCCATACTTTATACGCGATAATTATAATTATCGAATAATTACAAAATGTTTCTCAAACCCAATTGTGGCGACAACGTTTTGGTTCAAGCTAGAGAAATCAGGTTAAACCAAATGTAAACCGAATTTTGGCTCTTCTTTTTACATTAAATTAAATTAATAATGATTAATTTAAAACTTCTACATTCGTTTAGTATTTGGCTCTACTTGACTACTTGTAAAATTTAAGCCATCTTTACATATGTATATATATACTATACAGTAGTAATGTCACTAAATCAAAACAAATACATAAATTTCGAACGGGAATAAGATCATAGTATTTTTAGATTAGTTAGAGGAAACTAAGGAAAAAATTCAAAGGTATATTGGTATATAATATTTAGTATTACTATTTTGTCCCCCATTAAATTTGATTTAAACTCGTAATCTCAAAATCTTAGATATAATCTTTCGCTTCGAATACTGGTTTATTTTAATGAGCAGTCTTGCAACTTCGACTACATATGATTTTGTTTGTAAAATATATAATCGTAATGCCTCATTGACCGGATCCGCTACCAAATGGTTAAATCGTATTGCTTAGTATTACAAACAGCGTGAAAGTTCCTGGATTCGAACTCTGGGTAAAAATAAATAAGTGCGTGTTGTACACGCGAGTAGTATACATTTAAATAAAACACTTTTAATGTTTGAAGACTTGAAATATATTAGTTTCGGATGCTTTACAGTATCTGTGGTCACGGGGAAACGTTAAAATAATTAAGTTATATAGTTAATATATTTCGCGTTTTAAACCGTTAAAGTGTTTTATTTAAATGTGTACTACTCGCGTAAACTATAGACAGTATTTAATACATAAATGACTTAAATATGAGCTTAAAAAGTTCATAAAAAAGAAGGAAAGCACTCGGCATGTGCTTCGCCATCCAAGAGTAGAAGACAACTAAAAACTTTTTTAATAAACTAAACGGAGCTTTAAAAGTAAATAAACTTAGAATAATGTATAGTGGATTGTGTGCTGCAAACTCTACAAAAAAACATTTAACAAATATAAACTCTAAAGGTCGAATTTTGAAAATGGAACAAGACCTATTTTATATTTTCTTTAAGTTAATTTATTATTACTATATTAGTATAAAGATTCAGAAATAATTACACGTAATAACTGTCTACTAAATACCGTGCACTTACAGTGATAAGCAATAGAGTAGAATTACTATATTCAAGTACGCGTCTACAAGCTCGCTAATTAGCAATTAGCGATTAGATCGGTATTTGTTCCTAGTAAAAGGGTGCCATCCATACATATCGTCACGAAAGAGGTGTTCAAAGATATCGTGACGTCACTTTTATTCGATCGGTTATAAAAATAATTTCGAAAAATTAGGCAATTTACAAAATATGTGACGTCACACAATGTAGCAAGGTCAACATAAGAAATTTTAACACCTATATCTATACAAATATATAAAGGTAAAGAGATTGTTTGTTTGAACGCGCTTATCTCAGGAACTATTTGTTCGAACAGAAAAAATAAATTTGTGTCTATTAGAGCATTTACTACGGAAGGCTTTAGAATTTAGCCTATAAAAATCACGCTGCGATCAATAGGAGCGAAGAAACATTGGAAAGTGTGGAATAAACGGGAAAAAATATTTTTCTTCGAGTTTCCGTTGCGATCGCTGCCAAGTCGGTTTAAGAAACCCAAAAAATATGTATGAAAAAATTATTACTCTTTGACAATGATTAAAAAAATGTCCGCGATAGTATATGTCTATATTTTGAGATTAAAAAAATAAAAAATATCAGGTTTGCAAAAACAATTTTGACGCACAAAACAACCATTCCACGCTGTCACAGATAGTCAATAATAAAACAGTGATCTAACTAAAAACCTCGGTGTAAGTTTTTGAGCCTATTACCAGTATTACATAAGATAGATTTAATAGCATTAGACACTCAGAGACATTATGCGGCGTTGACAGAAATAGCACCTATTTTCACTACACAATGAATTTATTGAGTAATTAAAACAGTCGGAAATGTTTGTTACTAGATGAACAACTACGTTGCGAATACTTCGGCACGGTTGGTTTGTAGAGCTTATTTTTCAAAGGGATCGCGCTAGGAATATGTAATTATTATATTACATTTAATTTAATCCAAATTAGAACATAACGTTTTCGTTGTAAATATATTTTGCTTTTGGATAGCTTTTTAAAAACATGTTATATATATATATATAGTTGATTTGGACCATTGTGGAACATTTTCCCATTTTGGTAATTAAATGGTTTTATTAAACTCGATCCGTACGGAATTTATTTATTTGGGCCAAAATTTGAAATTGAAATTTGAGCACCTTCCTGTTGTCAGATTGATCTGAAATTTGGTACACGCATTTTATTTAGATGACAATACAATATAATAAAATCAATAACATACAAATTTAAGACAGAAAATGGCGGATTACATATTTTTCCTTAACCCCCTTAATATGGGCATTAAAGGGTTTTGTAGTATTAGGCACAAAAAATAAAGACCGTTTAACTTAAATCTATCGGATCTTAAATGTTTCTACCATGTTCATCCTCTCGCCCATTTCTATCGCTTCGTGTCAATTTTAAGAGGGTTAAAAGAATCAATTAAAATATTACATTATCCTAAGTATTTCGTTTACACTAAATAGCCACAATAAAGCTGCATTCATTATTTTTTTTAATATCATTGAAGCTTCAAAGTATTAAAGTAAAATCCCGTACCCCAAATGGGCTATGGGACGAATAAACTTCTATGTCCGTTTCACTGATATTTTTTTTACTAAATGGTTATTAAGTCTTCTGTGCCCCTTCTATATTTAAAATATATAGTAAACAAACCTGCATACAATACTTCTATGATTAACTAACCGATGCTTATACATATTTTCAGATCCCGACCGTTGCACTCTACAATTATATGGAGTAATTTTAAATCACCAACAATGTCTTTCCGAAACTACGTAAGTAAACACATTAAAATATTTAGCTTAAACTACTAGTATATATGTATATATAAAAAATCGAAAATAAATTGGAAAAATTTTCGACTCGGGCAGCACTTGAACCGGCATCGTCAGCTTACTGTGCTGTTGCCGATCTTCCGAGTCCCACACCTTATCGTCAATTTTTTTCAACCTATTGATACATGCAACTCTCGCGCAACTCTAGTATATCTAAACAACAATAATAATTATTAACACTCTGTTTTAAGAGATGGGCGCAATACACACTTAATCCCTCGTGTATCTTCGAATAGCATTCCTGTTGCTATTTATAAATTAGTGAAAGGATCAACTTTAGTGTTGAACGAGGATTATGGATTTAATATCGGGCTCATTCCAGACTACGCTATAATATACGGTGTTATACACAACAATATGGCGCACGATACTATTATAGACTTGTTTATAGTTAATCACTACCTTCTTATTATGTAAGAAAAGAAAATAGTGTATATTTAAAGAATAAATAAGTTTTTTTGTAAGCTAATGGATCGAACTGCGATAATTATGGTTTACTTTAGTTAATTTTCAAGCGGTTTTTTTTGTAAACAATTTAGATCCATAATTAAAAATTAAACGTTTAGTTATTAATATATAAAAATAATTCCTTTAACTATTCATACAGAGGTTGACGTTAACTCAACTACAAAGTGCCAACGAAAAATTCAATTTCTAAAAAAGCCTGATTAAGCTAATAAAAAAATATATATTCACTTCTCTATTGGAAAAAACATAGAAAAAAAATAAGATTAGGTCATAAAACAAAAGAAATAAATAATGGCTTGTATTATTATATTGTGAGATATTGTAATACTATAAACTACACTTGTGTATAGGGTAGTCTGAAATGAGCTTTACTCGCACTTGTACTTAACGCGTGAAATCAACGTTGCGCCGACGCAACGACGCCAGCGACATTTACGTGTTTCCAGAATTAAATCATAATTAGTTTTGTATGTACAGTAAATGTTGCCCACAAGGAACACGGGATAGATACATAACTGTGTCTTGTGTGTCGTGTGAACCCAGAATCTTTTGCTAAATAATGTTAGGCAAGACATAACATGTAGAAAAATCAATACTTCTAATTATGAAATGTAACAAAATTGGGTATATGAATAATTGTTATTATATCTTTGTAATAGTTATTATATCTTTACGTTTCAGTACGACTCATCATCGTATAACAGAAATACAGGCAGGTCATCAACCAATACTGGAACAGAACGACCAACAGCACTCACCACAAAATACACCACTACATCGGCTTTGAAATCATCCAGTATTCCTGTACCATCCGATCGCACAATAAGAGAGGAGACACCAATAAGTGCGATCGCTAATAGATACTCTAGCTATAGTAAATCTAGTACTGAAAAGTCTACGCCATCAAAGTATGAGAAGAAAGACTACTCAAAGCTTTCGGTTCCGTCGATAACTTCGAGTAAAAGCAGGGAAGTTAGCCCAGTATCATCAACGTCGAAATATAAAATCACGCGATCGTCGCGCCATGCTAGTCCAGAAAGAAAAAATAATAAAAACTTTAAGGAGAAAAATAAAGATATTGGATCTACAGAGCGTGACAAAGACATTCCTACAAAGACTGACAAGTCTTCAGGCTACAGCAGTCTGTCGAACTATAAACTTTATCCCCGTTCCGTAAGTTATACTCGGCCTATTGGTAGAACAGAATCAAAACCCGAAGTAAATTATACTCGACCATCAAGTAGATTAGACACAAAATCTGACACCAATTATACTCGTTCTTCCACAAGAACAGAAAAACCAGACATTGGCTATAGCCGTTCTTCCATTAGAACAGAAGCTAAACCCGAAGTTACAGTCAATAGATACGCAATCGCTAATCGTTTATCTTCATCCTCATATTTACGAAGTCCTACTCCAATTAAACGATCATTGTTGTCACCAAATAATAATGAAAGCACCAGAACAGAACCAGAAAAACCAATCAAAACAAACGATATCGTCGAAGAAAATATAGTTCCTCATATAGAACACTCGGAATCAAATGTACAAGATTCTACTAAATCATTAACTGATCAAAGTGAAGACTTAGAAACTGTAACTGTAATAACACGGCACACTTCACCCACACCACCTGGTTCATCTTCATATGTCCGTATCAGAAGAGCAGATCTTGCAAAAACGATTGAAAAAGTTATCACAAGAAAAAAAGCACGACCCCCTTCGTCTGATAAAGAAGTTCAGTCAGATAGATTAGATGATCCAACAAGATCAAGTCGCTTTGCTGGTTCAAGTAGAACTAGTGTTACCAATTGGACTTATTATTCTCCCACCGTTCATAATTATACAGGATATGCTGGTCGATATTCTACCCAATATTCCACATTACGTGACAATCCCAATTCCTACAGCGATAGATGTAGCCGAAGTCGTAGCAAAGAGCCATTAGTATCTGAAACAAACATCGGTAATGTTTTAACTGAAGATACGAATAATAGGGAATATGATAGCACATCATATCAGCAGCTCAATGGAGATGTCTATGATAAGAGTAAAGATGACGATGGATCAGAAATTATTATCAATGTAAATTTAAAGCTAAAAAAAGCTAGAAGTCCATCCGCAATATCAATGACAGAAATAGTTTCACCTGAAATAACTATTACAAATAGTCAATTACCACCTCAACCTCCAAAATCTGAGAGCTCCAGTAAAATAAAGAAAATAAAAACGCGTAAATCAAGCACAGATTCTTCTTCGGACTCAGGTTCTACTAAAAAAATTGCTAAAAAGCGAACTAAGTCCGTTAGTTCGAGTGACTCGGATCATAGTAATAAAAAAAGTCAAAATGCGAATAAACTCAGTTTAAAAAAGTCCAAATCAAACAATAAAGTGCAAAACGCAATTAAAAATAAATCGCAAGATAGCAGTAACAGCTTAGACTCGAGTTTATCTTTATCTTCATCAATGAGTGACGAGGAAAATATTTCTAAATCAAAGACTACGGATGTGACATCAATATCAACGGATACATCTACAAATAAATTATCTCTAATGTCAAATAAAAGTGAGCACGGAACAGAGGAAGCAAAATCTTTCTTAATTAGGGCGTTGGCGCCAGTCACAAATCTTTTTAAGCTCAGGCACCAGGAAACTACTGATACTAGTAAATGGCTCGATAGTTCTGATACTAAAGATATTTCCACGCAGGTATCAGAAAATACGTCGAGTAAAAATAAATGTAATGCAAGTAATGTCATAGCATCAAACGAAGATAATTTAGTAAAATTAAAAGCTATTAGAAGAATAGAATCTGGTGATAGATCGTGGTGGCTCGAATCCGACAATGTTTCTAAAAATGACGTCAGTGTAGAAGGTAAAAGTGAAGGAAGATTACCAAACAGTAATGATATTAGAACAGTAAAGAAATACGCTGACGACGAAAAACCATGGTGGCTTGACAGTAATGCAAATATACCAGAAGGCATTGAACGATTAACTCCACCGAGAAGATCGTCTAGCGAAGATGATAAAAGTGAAAAATTTATTTACTACAAGGTTCGTCATATGGAATCCGGAGATCAACGCGACTGGTGGCCTAGTAATGAGAACTCATCAAAATCTAGTAGAACAGAAGGACAGAACAATTTAAGTTTAAGCAAATCGGGCTCAGATCAAAAAACGTTTCCATTACGCCGAATTCGACACATAGAATCCGGTGAACGCCCTTGGTGGTTATCTAGTGACAAGAACATTCCAGAGGGCATCGAAAAGCTCCCGACTCCACCGCCGCAAGAAGACAGCGATTCATCAGAATCCGATGAAGTGGAGGTGTATATTCCTTCGTCTCAAGTCCCCCCATTTCCTCTGCATTTACCAGATGACGAGCCGCTGGGAGACCGCCGGAGTCCAGAGGGTTTAGAAAATCCAAATCAAATGGAAGTTTACAGAAATCGTTCTCCCTATGAAAACAACCGTCGTTATAGACGAACTCAAAGCAGGCCGTACTCTAAGACCGCGAAATATATTTCACGCTATACCGATATTGACGATATATTAGGAACGTCCAGTCAGATATACAGCTCGTTCATGGATTCTATATTAACCAAGCGCGAGGACTTATACGACGATGATGATTGTGAAGAAATTGATCCCACTCAAGTGAGGATCCATGATAGTACAGCACAAATGCCGGTTATTCTGAAACTTCACAGCAGGTACCTACATGTTCATGTTTATTAAACTAATAGTATACCATATAAATGTTTAAAAATAAAATTAATTGAAAAACATTTACGACACGGGCAGGATTTAAATTAAATAAATTTATATTTATTGATATATCAACTTATGTCAACATTTATCAGCGCAAAAAACTAACAAAGGAAACTAATAGTTTTGTATTAATATATATTGCATATATACCTATGTATATGTAATAATACCTTTTATGTTTTTTTAAGGAGCGACGTGGTCGACTATGACAGCGAAGATGAAGTAAGTACATACTTTAATTTTATTTGTTAATTACGGTTTCATTCGTTATAAGCATGGTATGATGACTCTAGAGGTTCTGAGGTTTGAATACATACAAATATTTTTTTGCCATAAAGTTGTTTATTTTTTAATCTACGAAATCTCAGAACTGTGTGCTTGCGTCGTTGTTACTTATATCCAAATAATTCTTATTATTTATGTATACGTACAGAACAAGATATAATTATTTTTAATTATTTAAAAGTTCCGTTAATTATAGTGCTTGAGCAATTTCAGAACATTTTCTTTATAAAGTTAGTAAACTTTTTTTAAGTTACCGTTTTGCCTATCCATACGTCCTACCACACGCTTAGTATAAGAGTGACCTAACTAAAAATTTAAGTAAAATTAGATAAATGCACTGACATTACTATAATAACGCCATCATCATAGTTTTATACGATTTGACAAAAAGGTGTTTTTTTTAATTAGGTCACTGTAATACTAAGCGTGCGCTACGTCCATTCATATATATCCAAACCATCCCTCGCCGGAAGTCGAAAACGGCCACTCAAAGAAAGACAAGATCCTATTAAAATTAATTGCTGTCTCGTTCATAATGTCAGCTTGTAAAAATGTAGACCAAAACGAGTAGACCTTGAGCAAAAAGAACCTATAACGGACAGTGTGTTTTACGTGCAAACAGGTATTTAAAAAAAAGGATCGACATTTACTCATAGCAAGAAAAACTAGCTCATCCCACGATGGTGGCTTGTCTATCTTAAAATAGCGCACCGTTTCAACTGGCTGTATTGTTTTAATAACCGCAATTATTGACGTACAATAAAAAAAATGCCCAATACTTAAATATACCTCAAGGCTTCCGTGCGGGTGCAATGAACTGAAGAGTGGACTATATCCTTGAATTAGTTCCCTATGGGAATAAAGGGAAAGAAAGAGACAATCACGTTTGAACCTGCCCGCTAGTCGCTACACTGTGGTGACGTCATAACGACAGATAATATTTCAATGAGAAGCGTGTCTATCACAAGTGGGTATACCAAATCTAAACTGAACATTAATCAATATAATTATTACGTCCACTCCAAAAGATTTAACTGAAGAAATCCTCATAATGTCAACAACTTATGGAAACAAAAAAGAAATGTATTGCTTCCCAAAGTATTCAATATACAAAATTTCTTTGTCTTTCGCGGCCGTTACCTTGTTCATCTTGTTTATATACAGCCGTTTCTACTCAGCTGCACTTTATTAAGACGTTGCTTTGCAGGGGAGCCTGTTACACTCGGCCGGTTTATACCGACGTGAAAATCGTACCTGAGGCAACTTGTCTTGCTACAAACTCTTTAGTTATACTTACAGCCTCGTCTTAGTTAGACCCTCACTATTGATAGAACTGTCGCGATGGTGAACTCCGAGCAAAATAGTTAAAAACAATGAAGTGATTTTGTGAGTTAATTGTGATAGTGATTCAATGTAACGTATATTAACTGTGTTTACTCGCAATTCATTGATACTTTTGTATTAGGAAGCCGGTTTTTGTTTATTTTCGTATATGCGCGACTTTTTACCGGTAAACTGGTAATATTATATTTTCTCTTGCACGCTTACATTTAATTGTTACTGGCGTAGTTGCGATTATATGGTCAAAGAGAGTTCTTATTTCCATAATTCGAAAGGAATTCAGTTCCGATTGAATAGTTATTATATTGATAAGAATTTATCGCTCTCCCAAACATGTTTTTAGACGTCTGAATACACAACAAAATCTACATACCTAAAACTAATTAGTGATTACACCTACATCTTCTTAGTAAAGCTCTTCAGAATGATAAAATAACTATAAATAAACTGAACCGATGTACCGTGTACTAAGAATACGTCTCTTAGTAAATAAATAATTATTTAATATTTATTTACGCTATATTTTTTTGCAAATTTCTTCGTTTCTATAGATACTTACCATATCTGCTCAGCTGTTTCAGTAGTTTTGGATAAACAAAAACGGCGTTAGGTAAATTCTTTTTACAAGATTTTTTGAAATTTAGAGATAAAAGTAGGTATTTACACATTTTGAATATATATATTATTATAATAAACACAACGTTTGTTATATTGTTTATTTAAAGTTAAATCAAAGTCTCTAAGTCATAATGTGCTAGAAGAGGTAAAATATAAAGTGAAAAAGTCAACGGGAATATATGTATATACCTAGGTAATTCGAACGATAACGCCCTGAGCGATATACTTATATCTAAATAAATAGAGTAAAATTATATACTTTTATTTCTTATAATATAAAGTTCGCCCACACCAAAACTAACATTAAAAACCAGATGGGTCTGAATTGTATATTTTATGTATATTTTGAATGTGCTATATATAATGCAGACAAATATAAATACGGCGTATGTTATTAATACAACAATGCTAATAGATTAAGTAAAAAACCTAAGTCTACATAGGCATATAGACTTTTGTTTAATTTCTTATTTGCGAATGTATAGCCATGGTATTAAGCAACAGATGTTTCGCGGGGCGCCACTACATTATGTCTAATCCTGTATTATGATGAATTTTACAATAATAAATAACAAAAAACATGATCTTCATACAAAAAAGAAAATAAAAATGCGCAATAACTGAGGCGAAAAATGAATTTGAACTGTTATTTGTGTATTATCACAATGTTCGGTCACTGTGCTCTTGTAAAATTGCATTTGATTTGTTTTTATTCACTACTTCATAGTTGTTTAAACCGATGCCTTTTTTTTATTTATTTCTATCCACGCTTTTCTTGTTCATTAAAGAATAAGACAGTGACGTTAGTTCAATAATTAAATTTTGCGGTTTGCGAAATATGTATACGTTTATAGGTGTCATCTGTCAATTTTAATCATATAATATCAGTCTACATTATAGTGTTAACAATATGGCGCTTATCACTAAAATGGTTTATCCATAATGGCAGGTGGTAAGTTTCCTGTGCCCGTATCCGGGCCCATTGATGTGCGAACTATGAGATTCGTGGGTTTTCACATCCTTATCCTGACTTAGCCTCATTATCGCAATAGATAAAGTTTTTACACTTCACACTTAAAGCCGTACAAAGGACATTTACAATGAAATTTAAAACAAAGGACTCTTTGTGAGGGATTCTTTAGTTCATGTTTGCCTTTTGTTAAATTTTTAACACCTTACCCACGTGGTAATGGAACGCTTTTTAACTTAAATTCAAATAAAGTGAAATGATAAAAGTATACACAAAAAGTTCGTTCGCTACGTTACATATAATGCCTTAGAGAGATTCAACTGCTTATTTCTAATCCAAATTCATGCCTAAAATTTACACCATACCTAATTTCGTATATACGAAATATTTTCATTTTGACAAATCACAATTTAATACGCTATTAAGTAAGTTTAAACAAAGAAATGTTTATCTTAAAATCTTCAAATTATAAATATTAATGTAATTGCTGACCGTTAATGCAAATATAATTTAATTGTTCGTCCATATACATATATTTGAATGAAATACACAAAACTTTTGTTTTAAATACATACATACAGACAGGTGAATAATGTTGACTTTGTGGGTTTTATCATTATAAAGAATAAAGGTTAAAAATTAAATATGTTGGGATTTTATTACAATATCCCAATATATTAACTAAAAATGCACAAACGAGAAGCTATTCACCTGTTCCTAAGTAATGTAAGTGAATGTGTCAGCTTACATCTGCCGTTCAAATACATTGAACCCGTAAAACCTTAAGTTATTGTTATATTCAAAACTCGTTGTTTTGTTGGTCGAATATCTATCCGTAAAAACTTCTATGTTCTTGTACTTTTATACCACACGTCATTTACGCTTTACTAAACAATATAACAATCAATTAAAAGTAATGAATTATTCGTATCATATTATATTATTTTCGCATAAAACCTTACAAGGTCTGGAGTTAGTCAATCAAAAAAAAAAAACACAACCGCGATTTTGTATAACTAAGTTTGAAATTCGAATTCGCCTCCATAGGTGGTCCGAATTTTGGAATGGGTCTTGTTTGTTTTATGTATGACTTAAAAGCAAAATAATCTTTTTATATGTTTTGCTAAGTTACAGATTTGAGGAAGTGATGACATCAGTAAATCGAAAAAGCATGTGTAAATAACCTTGACAATGTCCTTCACAGAAGTGTGTTAAATAGTTAGTTTATATTTCAATTAAGTATATTCGATTAAAGGTTATAAAAATAGTTTTGCAACTTAGTGAAGATATAATAAGATTTTGACTCGCTTTTAAGCCTCGTTTTTCTGTGTATCTACACTTTGTTAAATAAATCTTGATTGAATAAATTTAATTACACATTCCATCACTTAAATACCTAAATCTATAATAAATATATTCAGTAGCTTCGTGGTTTTTAGATAAATACTTTTTGAAGCCTATTGATTTTAAACAAATTAAACTTCCGAACGACGTTATTTTTTATATGTAATAAACAATAGATGATAGTCCATTTAATTGGTCCATCGAATGCATGTTGCCGGAACCAGTTGTGCGTTCCCGAAAGAAACGGATTGGCAGGTTTTTTCGCATTAAAACCGGTCTTTACTTTATACAAAATATATAAACGCTGTCTGAATACCGTGTTAATTCGATAAGATAGTTATTTATTAAACAACTTGAGAAATAATTGCGTAGATTTTTATAAATGAGACGTTATTTTAAAAATGGAACGTCGTTAATTCTATTCTGATTTTGAAACTCGTTTAAATTTCATTTTACGGTCACTCTTCTCTCTCAAAGATGGATAGAATAATTTATTCATATGTAGACATATTTCTGTGTCTGTCACACGTCTTTTTATAGAGTCAAAGATGTGTCTGATCTTTTGTCTACCCAAAACGATTTATTATAATGGGTTTAGAAACTTGGACCTCTCGAATTTAAGGCAATGGAGGATGTTATGTTTAGCTATAGGCGATCAAATTGCCCTTAGTTCTTTACTAATTGTATGCAGGTA